CCATAAATTACTTTAATCTCTATATTTTTAAGATGTTCAATTTTATCTTTATACTTTTAATTTCTTTTTTTTATTTTAGATCTGATATTTTCAAAACGTTTATTTTAGTTTATGTAATTTAAAAAAAAGACTAAAATTTGGTTTTTATTTATAAAATTTTAACACAAATTTTATACGCAACGAAAATTCTTTAATGCAAATTTATTGCAACATTTCTACAAATTTAGTGGGTGAAAATGTCATATAATAAAAAAGAATGAGATAAAAAATAAAAATGAATGGACCAAGATAGTTATTTTTAAAAAATACAGGAGCCAAAATTGACGTTTTTTAAAGTATATACACTAAAATAATAAAAGTTGAAAATACAAAGATCAAAAGGGAGATAGGCAAAGAAAGAAATGTAGGAACTGAAATAATATTTCTACATAAAATATATTTCGGGTCATGATTTAAAAGTTTGAATCTTTTACTTCATCATTAATAATAATAATAATAATTTTTAAAAAAAATTAAATTCTATTTTGATACCTCAAGCTTTTATAATTTCTATTTTAATTTCTAAACTTTCATTAAAAAAAACAAAAGAACTCTCAAAATATCTATTTTAATTCTTAAATTAAAAGGAAAAAAGAAAAAAATAGTGGACACAAGATATAATTTGGTCATTGATGTTATTTTGCCGTTTATAATACTCATCTTACTAGTAACTTTAGTAAATATTCATGTCATTAATGTCAATACACATTTTTGAAGTCATATCATCTCTATATTAATAGATAATCAACAATAAAAATAAAAATTCTATTTTCTTTGAACTTTAGAAACTAAAATAGGTATATTATTTAAAAAGCTTTGGAGTAATACATGGTGATTTAGAGCCGGAAAAAGTTGGGAAACTAAAATAGAATTTAAAAAAATTAAAAGAGAGATGAATATGATGTGATGGAAGCTTGGTTGAAATGGCCAAAATATGCTTAGTTTCCTGACGAAACAATGACTCCTTTTCTGCCTTTTTTTTTAATAATATTTATATAAATAAAAAATTACATTATTGAGTGGTTGGTGGGCGGTGGGTATTATTTTTAATCCTTTTATTTTGGCAATGAAGACGTTACTGTGCATGTGCTGCCTACTGCCTATTTGCATTTGTATTCCTTTGCCAAACCCAAAGGAAAAGCATATAAATACATCATATGCTTTTCTTCCCTTTGCTTCAATTTTACCCTTTTCCCCACTCCCCCAAATTGCCCCACACACACACACAAAAAAAAAAAAAGGTTCCTCTGATCTACATCATTGGTCATTTGAGTTCGAGGTCGAAGAATGTAACTTCGTTATGGGTATGAGATATGATCTTTGTTCTATGGTAAGTACTTGTGCGTTGGTTTTTTACTTGCGTGGCTACGTTTAAAGATTTTTGTAGATGAGTTGGCAGTTTTGTGGGTTTAATCTTACAGTAAAGTTATGTTTTCTATTTTAAAATTGTGAGTAAATTTAAAAACTATGAACAAAAAAAGTAATTTTTAGGTTTTTTTATTTCTTTCTCTAACTTTGCTCTCCCCTATATTATTTCCTCATTTTCTCTCTCTAACATATGACCTCTCTACTTCCCCAACTTTAAAAAATATAGTTTATCAATTTTTTATTTATAAAATCAGTAACCAGAAAATCAAAAATTAAAAACAAAAAATAGAAAAGATTATCAACGAGTCTATTTTGCTGTTCTTCTCTTTTTGAGTTGAATTGCTTAGGAAGTGATGATATATATATTATATAACAATAGTATTTGAGGTTAATTAAGAGGCAAATTGAACGACTGTGACGAAAAGAAACCCAAAAAGCAGGTGTGACTCTAGCATTATCTCACAAAGCAAAGCACAGTAGAATATATTGCCCATTGACTTTTCTCCAATAATAACAAACAAACCACCCAAATTTTCTGTATAAATTCCCTCTCTAACTTCTTCATTCATACTTCCAATACCACACTCCATTTTCTCTCTCTCTCTCTCTCTCATGCCCACTGCCTTCTTCTTCCATTAATCCTTCTCATCTGACTCCTCAAAATTTCAATTCTTCTCAACTTTCTTCTCTCTCTACCCTTAATTTTCTCACTCTAAAACCCCATTTCTTCCAACCCTCTCTCTCACAGCTTAGGCCTGGCTTCTTCTCTCTCTCCAATTCTTCCTTAGCCTTCACATTTATAAAAGCCTCCAAATCATGTAACTTCAGCCCCTCTCCATTTCAGCCCCGCTTTCAAAAAAACCCAAAAAAAAAAGTTTTGATTTTTAGATGAATTGCTTTGAGTAAGAACAGTTTTCTTTCGTTTAATTTTGCTTCTTATCCTGGATACTCCACAAATTCTGCCTTAGATCAAAATTTATAAAAACCCCCCAAATCATGTAACTTCGTTTTCTCTCACCATTATCCCCCCACCCAAAAAAAAAAAAATTATTTTTGCTCTTTATTTTGATATCCGAAAAGAAAAAAAACCCAAAAAAATAGGAAAGGAAATGGCGGAGTCGGAAAGTGGGACGCCGGCGGCGTCGGCGCCGGCGACGCCGGGGACGCCGGGGGGGCCGCTGTTCTCCGGCCTCCGTGTGGATTCGCTGTCGTACGATCGGAAGTCAATGCCGCGGTGTAAGTGCCTGCCCGTGAATGCTCCCACGTGGGGAGAGCCTCACACGTGCTTCACTGACTTCCCCGCTCCTGATATCTCTCTCACCCGCAAGGTATTTTTTTTTTAGAATATTTTTTTTTCTCTTAATATATGTATTTAATATTTTAATCTGCCATCTCTGACTTGGATTGGATTGTTGCTCCCAATAAAACTTATTAATTCAATTCATAACGGAAGAAATATCCTCCTTCTTTTTATTAAATTATATATTCGTTTTCTTTTTTTTTTTTTTTTAAGTTCAAATGGGTTCGGTTCTCAATAATTGATCTCAAAATATATCACCCTCCACCCCTTCCAAATTTCAAATTCTGCCTTAATTCATTTTTTAAATATTTTAAAATTTATGGAGATAAGCTGGAATTTTGTTAGTACAAAGAGTTGAAACATCCGATTTTTTCTTTTTACATACATTAAATAAGTTTAAATTGACGTAGATTTTGATAAAACATAAGATGAAATTTAAAAAGTAGTTAAATATTAAGATATTTATCAAGCAACTTATTTTTTAACTTGTTTCCTTATTTTATCAGATTGGGTTTGCTCATCTACGTCATCCATATGCATTTTAAATAAAAATTGATGGTTTAGAATGGAACAAAAAATTCTAAAATTTTAGAAAGTAAATCGACGTCCCTTTAAAGTTTCAGCGTGTGAATTTGCCATTAATGGTTATTTTTTTCTTTTTGTTTTTTAGTTTAAATATTATTTTGTTTACTCGTTACTTTTTGGTTATTTTTTTATTTAGTTCATTTTAATTCTTATGTTTCAAAAACATTTATTTTGGTCACTATGTTATTAACTTTTTACTTTTTGTTGCTTTTAATTTTTGTACTTTCGAGGTTGAGGTTGATCTTAGAGTAATTAATCCATTAATTTTCAATTTTATCTCATTTTGAAATTACTTTGCACTTTTGAAAAGTAATTAATCCATTAATTTTTAGTTTTATCTCATTTTTTATTATAATTTCAATGTAATATTTTACTCACTGAATTTATTAAAATATAGACATAAATTTATATTAAACATTTTTACTGTTTATAAAATTTGTATTAAAAAAGGCATAAATTTATATTAAAAAATTTTTATTGTTTACAAAATTTGTATTAAAATTTTGTAGGAAGAAAATTAAATTGGCCCTTTTATAAAAATACATGATGAAATTCGATATTTTGGAAGTAAAAGAACTAAAACAAAATCCCAAATGAATCAAAGTCCCATGTAAATAGAGACGAAAATAGTACTTAAATTTTAAAACCTTGACTTAATTAATCTATAAAAATGGTTTCAATTCAAAAATCAGTGCGCTATGGCCTATGTGAATAATTTTTGTAATTTTCTTCTCTTTTAGAATCTGGGTTGATAGGTTCTATTTCTTAAATTGACTTTAGATGCACTTTTTTTTTAATAAAAAATCAAGTATTGTTGCTCTGATTTTATTTTACTTAAACATCTCAGTTGCAATTATTAGTTTCTCCTAATTTTTATTATGTTTAAGTAACTATTTTATTTTGGTTCTTACTTTTATACCTCATGCTTATATTGATCCTTTTTTTTTTTTTGTATCTAAAAGAAATTGGTTTTTTAATTTTGCTAAGAAACCAGTTTAAAAGAAATCATAAATTTTCAAACGTAATTTTAAAGAATAAAAAAACTAGCAATGAAATGTTAACCAGGAGACCTAGAACAAAATAGTAATATAAAAAAAAATTGAAAAAAATATAACAAAATATCATTGATATAAAAATAATATTAATATTAATAAATTCTAACTTATTTATTTAAAATAGTGGAATGCTTATTTGTTGTTTTAGACCTTTGTTTTTCTTTTTCTAGCTTTTATTATTTTTCAAAAATATCCATCTACATTAAAATTTTATTGACATTTTGATTGACATCGACAAAAATTGATCTCAGCAGTTTTATCGTATGATTTTACTATTTGAAAATCCTTAATTTGATAACAAAAGCATTAAAAAGAAGATAGTATTTGAATGTAATTCTCGAAACCCCCAGCTGTAGGGGTATAATCGGATATTAGATCTATACGAGGGGTAAAATCGTCAAAGCAATTATCCAGTTGACTATTTTGACTGATTGTCCAGCTGGGAGCGGAATTTGTGGGAACATTCATCCTCATATTTGCGGCGACGGCGGGGCCCATCGTGAACCAAAAGTACGGCGGCGTGGAGACTCTGATTGGAAATGCAGCCTGCGCCGGGCTGGCAG